CACCACCTTGAGAGCCAGTGCTGTAGAAGATACCAGCTGGCTTACCGGCGAGTGACTGAGTCCTCCAGAGTCCACCGGTTGCATCCAAAAAGGCTTTGAACTGAGCAGCCATCATACCAAATCTTGTTGGGAAACCAAAGACAAACCCATCAGCTTCAGTTAGCTCGTTAGGGGTAATGATTGGGGATTCGCTCTTTGGTGGTGCGCTCATCTTAGAGAGTGCTTCTTCGTGAAGCGTCTCTGGTACCTGTGGACAACAAATTCATCAGGTTCAATGATTCAGATGGATATCTATAGCAAAGCCAAATGGTAATGTGTGATTGGGAAATTCCTGTGCTAAGCAAACAGAAACTAAAATGCAACACATGTTATTGTAAACGAATTGCAGCAAGAATGTCAAGAAATCCGAAATCTCGATTACCAGAGTCCAAAAAAGAAACCTGCCTTTCAGCCAAATCAAATCAGTGAAGCAGAACAAGTAATGCCATATACGAGTAAACAACACAGACAAAAGTAATGAAGCTCTATAAGACTAGAAACTCGCAGAGCAAGTCAGCATTCAAGAATCCAAAATCAAGAAACTTGACATGGCAATGGCCCAAGAATTCTGCAAACTAATGTTAGAATGTCTAATCCTTTCTTCAAGATAACCAAACTACTTTATAGACTCAATCCTAGTATTAAAGACTTCATAGCCACTTATATCCATTAACATAGTTTCTCACAGAAACATAAAGCCAATTGTGCTTATAAAAATTGACAATGCAACAAAAACAAAGTAGTAAGAAATATCACCTGCCATAGTTTAGCTTCAACACCTTCAACAGAAGCAGCTCCTTTCCTTATTTCTTCAGCCAATTTCTCAACATGACCATACATAGAGTAGTACCTGCAAATGTCAAAGAACTTAAAGTCAAAATTGGAATCAAACCCACCTAGTAACTAAATCACAATCCATCAAAATTTACCCCAAATCCAATCCATATTGACAAACATAAGTACCAAAGATCCAAAATTTAATCGAAAGACCAATCAAACAATCACAAAGTAAGTAAATTTACATAAATTAGGAATCAACTCAATAAACCATGGCAAAATTCTTCGATCAACACTGATTAAGATCAAATCAAGTCGCTGAAGTGAATCAGAGAGAAAATTACGATCTTACATCTAAACCCATCGATTAGCTTCGAAAAAAAATCGTAACTTTAATCACCAAAAAAAGAGAAAATGGAAACTTTGACATACACGATATACACTTTAGTCGCCATGGAAGTGTTCTTCTTCTATGAAGCTAAATACTTTAATGGGTTTAGAGAGAGAGAGAGATGTTTCAACGATCCGAAAATGCAGAAAGCGTATTTATAGAGGTGGAGAAGATGATCTGTGTTCTTTATCCTTTTTCCATTTACTTTTTTTTTTTCTTCTTTCCATAAACTCTTGATTCTATCAAATTCAACCCCTTGAGTATTTGGTCAACTTAAATTTCACCCTATAGTTTATATTTTTAAAATTTAACCTCACTGATGATTTTTAAACAGATCTATTAACTTTTTTTTTTTCAAACAGGTCATTATGGGTTATTAACAAAACATACATAGGCTTTTATCAGTGATATTGTACAACGACATAATTGGTCATAAAAATGAGAGATCAAATGATGTAATATATAATTTTAAAAAAATGACGAAAACTATAGCCAAAATGCATAATCACGAAACGTTAAATATAAATCACGATTTTGCATAATCATTTTTTGGTAAAAACAATGCAAAACCACTCAATTAATCAATTATAGTGTCATGTTCGGTTTATAATTAGCTAAAAATTGAAAGAAAAAACTAGTGGGGCAATTTTGAAAATTTCAGATAATATAGGGGGTAGACGTGGTCAAACTAAAACGCCGTCGTTCGCACCTGGTCTGGTATTGGACAAAAGAAAAAAGAAAAGTGGGGTTGGTGCGGGAAATTAAAACTTTGGTTTTATTTTAAAATTAAAAATAACATAATAATGATGATATGTTGCTGTCACGCTCATCATCATCATGTTCGTTTTCCCTCAAAAATTGTTTTTAATTTTAACATAAAACAGAGCTTTCTCGGCTTACTTGTTTTCTCTAGAAGATGTCTTTTTCAAAACATTAATTATGGTGTTTAATCTATTCAAATTTTACATTATTTAACAACTAATCAATCTTAACACATTGACACAAGATATGTTAGTGACTAACACGTTTTAAAAAGACAATACAAATGGATTTGTTAAATAAACGGAAGATTATATATTTCAATTAACTCAAAGAATGGAAAAATGGTTCCTTGAATTGTCGTAAAAATTACAAATTTATTTCAGCTTTTTTTTTTTAACAATACCAACCACTCAATCTCATTTTTGTTACACCAAATGCATAGCCAACACATAACTCGCAACTAATTGGAATCATAATCTTGAAGAATCTATCGATAAGATATTTATGGAGAAGGATTATAATTGAGAAAGTGAATAAGTCAACGAATATGGTCCGAGCTCTATGAAGACAACCAAGTAGGTGTTAAATTGACCGAGGGTAGGGTCAACAAATCTTGTCCGTCCGATCTCCGATGATGACAATCTAGCCATTGGATCTAGTTCCCGACGGCTCGTGATCCAATTTATATTCCGATTTCAAGCCCTTGCATCATCGCTCTCGTCATTATTATTATTTGTTACTTTTTTGACTTTTAATTTTCTACATCAAAGCATAAAACTACGACTAAGCATCTAATTTTCCAATAGAAAACACAGTATAAATTTACAACTATACGTTGTTTGACGATAGATATATACTATAGTAATAGTTGTGATACGAGATTAAATAATTAAATTTGGACGTGATTTGGACGTGTCATCCTATCAAATTAGTATGTAATGCATTATTACTTTTTCTTGTTTACATAATCATGGTGTCAGCACTCGAGTATCTAATTTCTAACTACTATGATAACGTCGACATAGATAGAAGAAATTAATATCATGTTATTTCATTTCGTTATTCTTTTAATTCTGCATTTTGTAGTTTCTGCTGGTGTTTAAGTTGCGACGTTTTAGGTTCATTGGTGCTTAATTCTAATCCATGGTGAAATACAATTATAATCCATGGTTGTATTCAAACTTTCAGCCAAAAGTAAAGGCTTGGAGCCTTGGACCATTCATATATTCTTCCATTTAGTAACTTTTAAGTTTCACTTGTAAAGACAATATAACTATTAATAATATATATGATGCCCAATAACCAGTTAAAGATAAAAAAGAGAAGATAATGATAAAATGCCAAAGATGGCTTGCGTTTCAAGGATGCTTCGCTTTTATACCCATTTCTTTTATAATGATCAATTGACCCCTAATTCTGCTGATATTTCGTGTAAACAAAGGAATCGGCTTTTTATATAGCTTTATTGACCAAAGTGTCGCTTAAGATACGTACATGCATGATTTGGTCTTTTTAGCAGGATCTCAGGAACTGCATGGCTAAACGCATTAGCCTACATGATGATACACTCACAATTGCAACCATATTTGCTTTATAAAAGAAAATTAAGTATTGAAAAGTAGAAACATGATCAGGTGGTTGAAAGTTGAAATTACATTCAGAGTTCTAATAATTAAATGTGGACTTCGATGAGTGATGTGTTATAAGACGTTTGTTAAAAACAAATTATAGCTTATTACCCTCCATTTCTTTATATGTGCAAGGAAAACTTTCTTTTATATTTTAGCTAGTTGGCCATTTAGGTTTTTTTGATATTTACTTCTCCAATAAATCAATTTTTTTTCCTTCAGCTACGTTATTTCTCTCCAAAAACATAAAGCCAACTCTAGAAAACTAAAATTGCATGGTCAACATCCATTCAAAGCCTAAATCTTATTTATGATAGAAAAATTTATTTTTATAACATGAAGATCCAAGTGTTTAACTGTTATTTTTTTTCATTTCATCTTTACTCGAATTAATGGAGGAAAAGAGCAACACATTTGTGAAGAACACGGAAGGTAAAAAAACTAAGAGAAAAAAAAATCAAAGAGGCTTAATAGCCATAGACCATAGCACATATTGAATATCTTAAGACTTAAAACAAAACAAAAGAAAACCTTAGACGAAAAAGGATAGACTCTCTCAATTGAATAATTACGTCAAACAAACCAAACTTCGTTACTTCACATACACTTGCAAATGGTTATCCTGATTGTCTCATAACTGTACACTTGATGCTTTAGGCGACATAAAAGCAGCTATATTGATGTCTTAGCCATTAAGCTGCACATCGATGCTCTCACCAAATAGAGGAAAATTTTTTTCTCTTAATGGAAACCTAATATACTGTATTGGTACACTATCTTGGCAGAAAAATATACAATAAATAAAAAAATATATCGAATTCAGAACATCTTCATAAAAAATTTCAAGTCAGAAACGTTATCAAATGATACAATAATATCTATTAAATTTCTAGAATAACTTTTGAATGAATGAACAGTGATGAATGTTTTTACAACAAGTGCAAACTCTTTTACAACAAGTGCAACTTGTGATTGAAGAAAAAATGTTTAGAACTTAAAAACTGAAAAAGCCTTAAGTTCTTAAAAACTTTCGAAAATGCTTATCAAACTGGTTGTAAGATTTAACTAAGCACCTACTTTAGTTCTAATTTTTTCGGTTAAAGTTTTGTTATTCACCCCCAAAACTACTTAGTCGTTTTATTTATTACTTTTGTAAGTAATTTTGGACATTTATATTCCTTTTACTCTCAAGATTTATTTATTTATTCAGTTTTTTTTTGGTCAATGATTATTATCTATCGTCGTCTTACAAGACGAAGCCTAAACTAAAAAAAGTTTGAACAAAGAAGAATTGAATCAGTTAAGATTTTGCTTTGCTACTTCGTTATTTTTCGATAAATTTTTCAAACAATTTCTATGAACCGCAACAATAATGGAAACTGGGAAATCAAAGAGAGAATAAAAAAAATAACAATAAATTATTAAATTGGTTTTTCGTTTTTGTCTAAAAAATAGTCAGAGTCTCTATCAAAGAAAGAAGGTTTCTCTATCAATGCCGGTGACTATAATCGGAAAACTCTTCCTCGATCACCTCCGTCACAACACACCGTGACGCTTCCATTAGTTCAGGACTAAGTCTAAACATGAGCACACAAAACTCCATCTGATTCAACGCCCCATCTCGATCACAATCTCCTTCGTTGATCATGCATCGAACATCATCGTCCGTTAGATCTCCAAGTCCAAGAACCGTCGATGCGTTTCTTCGTAAGCTCTCGAATGTGATGACTCCTTTGTCTTTATCCATAAGAAGCTCGAACCCTTTGCAAAGCTCTTCGATTAGACCTTCTCCACCGAGTTTACCGGCCATTGTTGGGAAGAAATCTTGGAACTTGGGTTCTTGATTTTCTTGGTTTGGTCTTGTTGAAGATTTAGGAGACGCCATTAGAATTAAAAGAGAGAAATTGATTGTTTTGAGAGATGGGTTTTGTGTTGTGATTGAGTTTTATATATAAAGGAAGAGAATTTGAGATTTCCGAGAAGGAACATCCATGGAAACTTGAAGCCAACTAATCTACATGTAATGGAGAAAAATCTTTAAAAATTTTGGTTTTCTTCTTGGAAGCTCACGTAAGGATAAGAATGTCTTTTCCATTATGGATGTGATTGTTCCCACGGGAGGTACATAGTGTGAAAAGCTAAGAGAAGGGATAAAGTTACTTTGAATGTGAAGTTTCGGTGACTTTCTTAGGCAAATGACTTTAGATTCCATCGATTAAGGAAAGTTCTTTAAAATATATATATTTTGAGTTTTGCAGAATCACACTTAAAACACACACATAAAAATTTGGTCGGTATGGTTTTCATTGCGTGTGTGGAATTTCATGACATTCATGTGGGAAACATTAGAGTTACATATGGTTTTGATTTTCTATTTTGTTAATATTGAAACAACAAAATTGAGATAATATTCATTTTTATAATCGTCAATAGTAACCAAAGCCATTAGAGCATAATGTTAACCAACTAAGGCAATTGAGAAAGTATATAAGTTATTTTTCCTCGATGTAGTTAGGTGAGAAAAGTCTCCAAAATAACAAGTTCACAAGTTCATAGTGACTTTTTGGGTGCGATAATAAATTATTAATCCAGATTTTTGGTCGCTTATTGGAAGACATTAACATGTAACAATCTTTATTGAAACTTCGTTTGTGGTAGACAGAATATTCCACTTGGTCTGCCTCTTCTATTGCATGCCTTTATTTTTTATTATTACTCTCCAAATAATCCAACCAAATCTCTTCCTTATTGGATAATTAATCACTATCATTAATATCCATAATGGTTATAAATATAATGAATGCATGAACCTCAACCGCAAAATGAACCGGGTTCGTAGAAAGAACATTGAATCTTGATTTATCGACTTGGTCAATTAATTAATTGATTATAATTAATTATCTCTACCTAAATCAAGATTCAAATCAAACAATAAAACTTTTGATCAGATCTTTCGGGACCGATCGAACATAGATTTAAAATTCCAAATATTTCAAACAACTAGGGATTGACCCGCGGTACACCGCGGGACTATATTTTTATTAAAAAAAATAATATATGTTTGTTTGAGAAAAATCAATATAGGTTTTAAATATAATAAGTCTTTAAATAACCTATTTACATGTGTGATTAGAATATATATAGAAATCTATATAGTGTTAATTGTACGATTAGTATATTGTATGTTTGAATATTTATAATAATAAAGGAAAATGAGATTACTATTTAGTAAGCGACGATGTACCGCGGCGTGTGCAAATAACGTATCATCTTATTGTGTTTGTTGTATATTTAAATAGTTTTGAAAGTGTGTAAGGACTTTATATATATGTGCAAGTATACCAACCCGTATTAATATCTTTTTATAAATATCTATAATGTTTAAACTTTATATAAATTCATATAAAGTTCAAATATTTATAATATTTGAAACTTCATTAAATTTTTAAGATTATAAATATTTAAACCGTTTTATAAAGTTTAACTTTTCAAAAGTTTACAAAATTATATTGTTTAAATTTTAATAAAATTCAAATATATATAATATTTTGAATTTGTATATATAACAATGTTGGATTTTAACAAAAAAAAATTATTTCGTATAAAAGCTATATGATTACACTTTTGGATTGTTAGATTTAACCCATAAAATATATGTAATATAGTAACTCAATTACATATTTAAATATTGACCCGTGGGATAATTTTGACTTTTTAATTTTGATCTTCATAAATTTATGATTTTTGTAGTATATAAAACTGAATGGTGGTGTATGGTGTATGAAAACTTTGAAATTTGTTAAACAGAAATGTGTGTAGATGAATGAAATGACTGCTCTTGACATTTCTTATATAGAGATCATATAAGTTTAGACCTTCTAAATTATTGTTATTTTCTTGGTGGTGAAGTTAAATTTTGATATACACAAATCTTATCGAGGAAACTAATAAATCCGAAATATTGTGATTGAATAAATGATTATCTTGTTTTTGGAAAGATTGTGATCTTTAAAATATATTGTTGTAATATACCAATGATTTAGAATATATATATTGTTTAGCAAATCTGTAGAAGATATGCTTTTAATTATTTAACCAATTATGATTTGCACATAATATTTATTGTTAGCATTAAATCTTATTCGATTAATCAATCAAGATTATATTAATAAATACAAAACACATATCTTTAAAATCGTAAAAAAAAATTGAATGTAATTAAGAAAAGTTAATATTTAAGCGATATTTGGGGATAATATCTTCTATCAATCTCTTAGTAATATTACACATATTTAAAACGTTTTAAATAATATGGTAATATATTTCTTCTTAAACATGCATTTTTAAATATGGAATGTGGAATAATTTGTGAAAAAAATCAACTTGTTGAGATATTATCTAGATATCGACTTGAATCGCGTTTGACTTAATGGGAAGAAGTTTAAATGGTAATTTAGATTTGATCACGATTATTTTGATTTATTAGTTTCCATTTGCTAGATATTCTCGATATTATGTTTAATAGCATTTAAAATTAAATATTTGATTTCCATATATTTGAAACTCAAATCTCGTAAACAAAAAATTAGGAATGTTTAGTGAGTTAATTTAACATATTTTAGTTGATTATTTTTTTGGTGCTTACATATTTTAGTTGATTATTGCATAAAAGAAATATTAAACAAACTTTGGAAACAATTCAAACACCCGGATTATGTGCAAATAACCAAAAAAGAAAAGATAAACCACACCCTTTTCTTTCCTGTTTTTTTTAATTGATTATTGCATAAAATTAGTTTGGTGGGAAGAAGGCGATAGTGTTTACAAATATCATTCAGAAAGTAAAGACTCATTAAGAATATAAAAAAAGGATAAATCTATGTTCTAAATCTGTCGATTTTGTTTTGTTAATATACGTTGTTACTTATTAGAAACACGTTCTATCTAAACAAATAAAATAAGATAATGGAAAAAAAAAACATCACTGATTTCAGCGAAGTTAGTTCAACCAAATTATAAATTAATAATTATTTTGATTCCTTTCCATTCGATGTACTACGATATTATTTATAGAACTATATGTCTATACATCTAACCTTTTTAGACCACGATGCAATTATACCTCAAATTAAACCCACACTTGATCAAAAGTAATTCCACTTAATAAATTAATGTTTTCTCCCATACACTTTTCTTGACGATCAAACATCTGAAAGATTAACTAATACACAAACACATCAAAAAATAAAAGAATATCTTCTTTCATTTAAAACTCTCTCTTATTAGATTCTCCCCATCGAGAATCTCTTGGGAACTAAAACCGGACGCTGTTTCAATCCACTCACCATCTCATGATCATCACACTTGGCTACACTTTTCCTGCTCTTCATTGGAGAGACCAGCCTCATAGCTAATCTTGATGGCGAAAATGACCTCCTGAGCTTTGCAGCCGTTGACAGATTCTGCGACTTATTGCACACCCTAGTCGGAGATATCAAAGCTTTGGGTGACGTCTTACAAAAGTTACCATTTCTTGTCGGAGAAAGAAACGCTTGAAGCGTGACTCTTTTCAGAGAAATGGACGACTTAAAAGACTTGATTTGAAAAAGAAGAAAGTGCAAAAACAACAGATTTGTGATTTTAGTTTTCTAATACAAAATCAAAGTATCAGAACGTTCTTTAAGACCACAACGCAAGAATGGAGAGACAAATTCAAGCAAAAAACAAAAGAAACATAAAAAGTTCAAAAGATTTGTCATATTTTTGACAAAAACCAAAAAGAGGATTTTAAGAAGATCAGTATTCCCACTTCTTGAGTTCCATATCCATTGTTCTCTCCACTTTCTTAGTCCCAACTTCTTTCCAATTTGTCGACAGTACCGTCCCGTTTGATTGAGCCTGTCAAACCCAAAAATCAACCAAGCATGCATATATCATCAGTCAAAAAAAAACAAAGGAGAAAGTTATAAAACTAAAAAAATAAAGACCAAAGAGAGGTTTGCTCACAAATGATTTGTTCATAGCTCGACTCATGTCCTCATCTGCACTTGAGTATATATCGCTGAAAAATTTGTTCATAGCCGCATCTCCATCAAGCTTCTCATCCTTCTCCTGAGGAATTCAAAAGTGATAAGCAGAAAGAATAAAATTAAAGCAAAGCCTCTAGTGTTAAGGATGAGAAGTTTGCGTTTGTGGAACCTGTTTCTTCACTTCAGCTTCCAGCTTGTCCCAATCTTTTGCTGGCTTAGAAGATGGGTACACTGGTCTCTGCGACAACGCTGCATATACACATAAAATTAAATGAGAGACCGCTTTGGCTTCAGTTTGTTTAAGCTCTTATACTTTTGGTTCATATGTCGAATAAAATATACCTTACCGAACAATCTCGGCTGGAGATGATAAGCTTCCTCTCCGGCAACATCAATGATAACACTCAGCTGCACCAAAAAAAAGCCAAGATAGATATCTCAAATCGATACAGAGGGTTAGATTACAAAGGGAGATAGGTTTTTAAGGAATGCAAATGAAGCTTCCATTGGGAGATGAAAGTTTCTTTTGATGGATTTAGGAAAACGTTATTTTGGATCGATGATGTGAGAAGTTGTCAATAGTTCGAGTATTTATAGTGGTTTAAGTTAGGTCACAAAGATCTTGATGACCAAGCATAGTATCTTTAAAATCATAACAAAATTGGAATAAAGGAATATGCCATTAGGTGTAGTAAGTAGTTCTGATTGCCTATATTTTCTCGAAAATATGCTTAACAAAAATAGAAAATAAAAGATCTGTTTCGATTTATTTATGTTATAATATTAGCATTAAATTGTAAATATTGATTTCCTTAATTTAAAAGTCATACCAATAAGAGATTATTCTTTCGGTAAAGTATTATTCCTTAGCATTAAATGGTTTTATGTTAGAATTAAATATTCATAATTGATTTCATTAACTATATACATACCAAAAATGCATTACGTGATACCAAGGGATATATCAAAGATGAGATATTAGGTTATTACGTTTGTCAAAATCGGAAACGTAAATATTACGTTTAATGTCATGCAATTCTTGATATTTTTTTTAGAAACAGAATTGAATATGAGCGAGAATTTTGGCAAGGATTAGTTGAGTTTAAGAATATTGTATGTTAATTTATTTATTGTCATTATCATTTGAATATTTGATTTCCATATGTTAGGATCTCAAATCTCGTTTTTTCAAAAATAGGAATTGTTAGAAGAGTTTATTAATTGATTTGTAAATTTCATTAAGACATATATTTTGTCAGATTTTATTTGTAGGGACTAAATGTACAATATTGAAATTGTAAAAGGATTTTTGAGGCCAAATCTTCACCAAAAATGTATATATAGATAACAAACCATGACTTGTCATATACCAAAAACGGGTTCATGATCAATAACCAGAATAAAACTTACAAATGCAAGCAATGAAGCATAAAACTCCTACAGTTCGATAGTTTCGCCAAAATATGAAGAACATTCAAAGTCAAATATGTGAATAATATTACATACGAAATTATCAACATATGAAATTCTTGATTTTGATTTCTTTACATATTTATTTGAATATTTCTATGATTGACACAATAATAGAGTTTCCGTGGAAACGATTCTAATGTTCTGATATGCTTTAAAATTAGCAAAACAAAAATCCTCCAAAGCCTCAAAGACAGGAACCAAACACTCTTGCATACTCATCGATACGGCGTCGTTTAGCTCTCTTATCACTCTCTCATGCTTTTCTGTTTCTTGCGTCACACTCTCTCTCAAAAACAACAACTCCGGTCCCACCATCAAATTCACCGTCGGACCAGAACCATGCGCCGTTCCCCGGATCTCCTCCAACTCCTTCGTCTTCTTCTCTAACTCCTTAGACAATCTCTCTGTTCTCATCCTCTGTTTCTCTTCCTCTACTTGCTTAAACCCTAACCCTCGAAATCTTAATCTCATTTCTTCAACAGCACTCAACACTTTAATCTCTTCCACATTCTCAATCTCTCTTAACCACTCGCTGCAAACCCTAAATATCTCAGGAGCTTCGATCTCGGTTTCATCGTCCTCCATGATGTTTCGGTTAAGCCATTCGTTTAAGAGCTTAACGAAACCTCTCTGAGCATCAATGTAACCTTTCAAAGACTCTCTGTATCTTCTAATCTGTTTTTCTACTTGCTGCGTAGCTTTCCTCGAGCTCGATCCATTTTCAACAATGTGAACACAAGACTTGCTTCTTGCAATCACTCGAAACTGCTTATGGTGACATTTGGCCAAGAATCTCCACATTTTTTTGAATCCCTTAATGATCTCAATCACCTGAAACGAAAGCTCTTCGTCTCTTATCTTATGAATTCTCATGGAAATCGATTCAACCGCTCGAACCGAAACATTAATCTTAGATAAATAGAGTTTAACCACAGTTTCCGCCTCGTAAATCTCGCTCGATTCTGCTCCGTTTTGATCAAGATTGTTCAGAATCTTGTACGCTTTATCATAAGAAACCCTAAGCTTTTCTTCTACTGTAACTTCTGCGTGAAGCTTCTTTTCCCACATATAAAGCTTCTCTAATGTCATAGAGAGTGAAACAGCGAGATCATCTAAGCGAAAACGGCGCTTTAAAATCAAATCACGAGTCGAATTCCCGGAACTACCAAGTACCCTTGAAGCAAATCCCTTGAATTGAGATCCTAAAGGTTGATGATGAACAACTCTGCTTACTTCAAGCAACTCAGAGACTTCACTATTATCCACAGCTTTCTCGCATATACGATTGATCCTTTCTACAACATTCCTTAAATCAGTCAAACCCGAACCAGAAGACTCCGAAAAACAAGAAGAAGAAGACTCATACGCTTCATCAGAAACTTCCTCATCTGATCTTGTCACTTCTTCAACTTCCTCATCTGATCTTGTCACTTCTTCAGTAACAATCTCTGGAGTTTTTTCTGTCTCTTGCGCGCAAGCTCCACTAGAATTATCAGTCTCATCTGCACCATTACAAGTGTTTGCTTCAACATCTTGCTTATCAAATTCACTTGCAACCTTCTTCTTCTTCTTCGTCTTCTTTTGATTCTTCCTTATGAGACTATTATGATCACTTTCAGGTTCCAAATCAGGAATCCCTTCTCTCTCCCTAACTTGTCTAAATCCATCACTCTCAACCTCATCATCTCTTTGATCCGGTTTGATAAATTCGCACTGCTGCGTGTTATACACGGGACCGTACAAACCGAGTATATCACCATTCGCAAAAGTGTTCTGTTCAACAGAAGAAAAGTTTTGCGAATCATCTTCACTTGGATCACTAACGAACTGTTTCCACTCAAACCCTAAATCTTCTCTTGACTTCTCCATACCCTCTTGACCATTGTTACTTGAACCGCAAGTTCCATCTCCAACCACGGTTTTTTGCGGATTCTGATCCTCATTGTTGCTCAACGGAGCTGTTTGAGATTGATCACACACTAAACAATCAGAATCAGAATCCGAATCAGAATCCATATCCGAGTCTGAATCTGATCCAGAACAAATTATATCACTACTAGACGAATCATCATCCGAATACGGAATCACAACCAAATCCTTATGAACAAACTGATTAAGAGCTTTGCTAAAATCTAAAAGAGACTTAAAGTAAAGAAGATGAGATTTCGCTAAGTGATAACGACCATCTCTAGCTGCTCTGATCAATTCCTTCCTCTCCTTACATAGATTCAACAATGGAGTATTACTATCTCCCTTGGAAGCAACGATTCCCATTAAACCTTTTGAATCTCTCGAAATCGGATAAACCCTAATTTGATTTCCTCGCTTTAACAATCGATATTTCGTGGATTGATTGAGTTTTTGTACCTTTTGACGACATCACTTAAAAGTAAAACCCTACTTTGGCAGAAGTAGGGGTCGATGATGAACCCTAATTTATAAGCAACATCAATTTATTTTGTAGAGCGACGCTGAAGTTAAACGGTGTTTTGGTTTCCTTTTTTTTTTTTGTTAACGTTAATAAATAATTTTTAGAAAAAAAAATTTGTAGCTAAATGAAAAGGAAATAGAGGAAAAGGAAATTTGTAGCTAAATGGAAAAAATCTCACCGTAAATAAGAAGTTAGAACAATAGGTTACATGTATAATTAATGTTTGGGGGCACGTTATATAATTGATATTAAGAGCTAATGATAGAATCAGAAAATTAAATTTCATAGATGCTACAATCAGATCTACCATAGAAGTATAGAACAATAGGTTTGGCGATTTCTTTTCAACTGTCTCACCTTTTTCTAACGTTGCTAATTAATTGCTACCATAGTTTTATTTTTAACTTGAGGGCTTTGAAGTTACAAAAGCCCAAATTAGTTTGCTTCGAAGAATTTGTATTTTTTTTTAACAAATTCAATATTTCTTCTCCGCTGGACAATGATGATGTGCAATGTCATACAATTTGTTGGTAGTTTGGTACTTATCAAATCTTATAATTGATGTTAAGTAACTCTAATTAACTAAAGTTATTTTCGTACGCTACAAAGTTGATGTTGTAATACTTTTTATCTTGTAGTATCTGAGATCTTGAATATTCATTGTGGAATTTGTTTGACCAGTTTGACAGATAAAAAGAAACAAATCTTATAAGAAAATCATATAATTAATTTGATAAAAATTATATGATCACTCACTTAACAATTTTTTTATTGTAATTCACATCTCTTTTAAAAACTTGGAAAAGAAAACATAAATGGGAAAAGAAACAAGGAAAATTAGGAGTAATTCGTGAGATATTATGTATTTATGTGTATAGTATTCGAGGCTTCTTCTAAGTTGTTCTAAAGTTGTCATCCACACACATTTAAAAGTAAAAAACAAAACCCTGAAACTCAAAACACCTCCACTCATCATCGCCTTTTAATGCATGTGGCTCTCAAATGAAGACATCTCGTGTTCCTTTGATTCTTCACAATTCACACTTCACCCTTTACACCACTAATCTTCGCCACGTAAAATTTTATCAAGCATGTTACGTAGGCCCAACTTTACATTTTTTTTGTTATATACATTTTACGTATTATTTGTTTTCATAAAATGACTTTACATCTATCTTTTTCTAGTGTTAATCTTAATTTCGTGATAAGACGTTATTCCGAATACGTTACATGCATCCACAAGACCACAACACTAACATATTTTGTGATACTTCGGTCCACAAATAAATTCGATTAGGAATTTTACTTTTCGTATATAAAGTTCTTGATAGTTCTTGAATGAACTAAACTCATATCGGAGTCTGAAAGTGCTAAATCGGCATCATTTGAACCAGTTAACATACCAACGCTAGGATATTTAACCATTCATCTATGTGCTAAGTTCTAACTTATCATTCATTTAAGTTGGTGACTTGTTATTTCTTTTTATCAAACATCTAGTTTAGTGGATCTATCTAACAAGGGTGCATAGATTTTAGGGAAATTAGTTTCTCTCAAATTGTTTTTAGATAAATCGATTAACCAAGAACATGTGATTTAGTGGTCTCTTTGAGCAAGATGATTTAATTTGTTCTCTGGATCAAAACTACTGATCAAACTCTATCATGTACAAAAAATCGTTGTGATTTTCTGTTGACAACTCGCAAAAGTAAACATTTTCAGTGGCAAAAATATTTGTCTATCTACAAGCTTCTTGGGTCGTGATCTATCCTGGTTTTTAGAATTTTTTTTAACCAAATTTGTTAACTAATGGCAAATGAACCTGGCCGAGACATTCATAAGCATGCCTTTATTTTAAAATTTATCATTTACACATTTTTTTTTACCATTATTAGCAAATGACAAGTAATATATCGAGGTTGCCAATGATGTGAAGTAAAATTAGTGGTTGGATTTGATTTTGATTTAGAGAAAAAAAAACATTTAATTTGGATTATGTAAAATATGGATCACTAAAAGTGGTTGACAAAATTAGGTTCTTCTTCTATAGCAACCAGCTGGTTGATTTCATGGACACCAAAACTTCCCAACCCAAAATGCATATTAAAATCTGCAGATATCATCATTATTATCCTACCGTAACACCAACGTATTAAATTCACTATTCATTTCAAAAACAAATCGAAAACCTTATTCACACAAAATGCTTGGACCGGAACGAGAGATGAAAAAAAGTAAAAAAAGAAAAAAAGAATAAAGAAAAGAAGTAGTGGACCCCATTGACGTGTATTGAGGACCAGACAAATCCCAGGTGGGGATCAAGTGGCTCTAAGTCTATTACAGAACCTGATTCGTCCACGTAGGATAACTCAGTATCTCCTTCTCCTCTTTACGAGGCTGAGATATCGCCACGTCATTAACTAAAAAATCTAACCGCATAAAATATCTGATGAAACATCAAAACGAATCATATCTCGACACGTAAGACTTCGCCCATAGGGGAGCCTTGTCCCAGTACATGGTTTCAGGACCAAGTAAATAAAAACATTTCCTTTTTTAAATCATATTATTATCTCTCCTAAATTTAAGAATTCGAGAATAATACTCAGCCGCAGAAACCTTACTAATCTCAAAAACAAATTTAGAACTACTAATATAATAATTATCCACAAATTATCAACCATGAAATTTAAAGTTTGAACGAATCCTTTAATCTTATCCTAAATTTAAAATTAGAAACTTCTTGCATTTCATTAAAAAAATACGTGAAAAATCGTTTCGTGAAAAGTAATTGTCGAAATTACCCTTGAAAAGAATTAAATCACATAAAACTCGCCACAAAATTCTCATAATACAATTCTCTATTTCGCTGTCTCTTATTTGTGTCCGCAGAAGAAACGAGAGAAGAGAGAGAAGAGAGAGAAGCAAAGTCCTTACCAAAAATATTTATAACACAAACATCTAGAGAGAGAGAGAGAGCTTGTGGAGATAATAACAATGGGGAAGAAGAAGTGCGAGTTATGTTGTGGAGTAGCGAGAATGTATTGTGAGTCAGATCAAGCGAGTTTATGTTGGGATTGTGACGGTAAAGTTCACGGAGCTAATTTTCTGGTGGCGAAACACACGCGTTGTCTTCTTTGTAGCGCGTGTCAGTCACACACGTCTTGGAAAGCTTCTGGCCTTCGTCTTGGCCCAACTGTTTCTATCTGTGAGTCTTGTTTAGCTCGTAAGAAGAATAACAGCTCCGTCGCCGGAAGGATCCAGAATCTGAACCAAGAAGTGATCATTGGTTGTGACGACGGAGCAGAATCTTATGACGAGGAAAGCGATGAGGATGATGAAGAAGAAGAAGTGGAGAATCAAGTTGTGCCGGCGGCGGTAGCGGAAGAACTTCCGGTGGTGAGTTCGTCGTCTTCTGTTAGTACCGGCGACGGAGAAGTGGTGGTGAAAAGGATGAGACTTGATTTAGATCTTAACCTCTCCGATGTATGAATCTTTTTCTTTATCTTCTTTATTTTTTTTAGGGAATGATCGTGAAATTTATCGTTTCAATTTTTTTATGTAATGCAGGAGGAGAACGAATCTCGACCGTTGAAAAGATTATCGAGAGACGAAGCTTTGTCTAAATCAACGGTTGTGATGAACTCAGTCGTGAAATTACAAGAAGGGAGGAGAAAATCAGAGGGATGTTGTGATACATCATCGTCGTCTTCATTTTATTGAAATCTTCAACAAAAGTAGAGATTTTTAGCCGTTGATGATTCTTTCGTTGGTTGATTAGATTAATGCTCACCGTTCATTACTAACAAAACTTTTTAGTGAGTTGAGTTAGTTTAAAAACATTTCAATATATTCGTTTTGAAGCTTTTTCTTAGCTGTTGAAGCTTTGTACTATTACTTATTATTATGTCGATTTTTTTTTTCGTTTAAGCTATATTACGTTACCAATAAAATATATTCATATATGTAGTATAAAATGAAGCAATTTTTTAGTATAAAATGAAGCAATATGTAGTATAAAAGAAAAATGAAGCAATTTTTTAAATTATAGTGAAACATGAGATATTATTATAACGTTTGAAAGATCACCAACCAAAACCAAAATTTTATAATTATGCCAATTTTTATTTGCCTTCCAAGAAGTATCTGTTATAATTATGCCAATCTGAGATATTATTTTATTGGCAGCAACAACTAAAAGAGTACATAACGTATGAATGTCGTTAGTTTTGTAACTGCGACCACTAAAAAGAAGATATTAAATTCCATTGGGTCCTCCTTTTAAAGTTTTATTTATTCGCCAAACGCGTTGAACCCATCGTGTCTGTCTCTAAACTGTGTTTAATAAGCTCCCAAAAAAAAAATATGATGCAACTATGCAAGATCCAAGTTTTTAATGAATTAATTAAAACATGTGGTTCTCATTGCATCTCTTTTCAAAGACCGATCATTTAAGCCGGCTTCAAAATACTAAAATCTAAAATAGTGTGGAGATTTTTTGAAGCTAGTTATTATATGAATAAAATAATCCTATACTATTATTTGGGGAGTACAATTTATGGATTACCCTTAATTAACCTTCCCCTTTGTAAGAATTTACTTAAGAATGCCATTAGAAATAAAATTTTATAGAGTAAATTAATTCAACTCATTAAGGATAAACAAGTCAAATACTATTTTATGCAATTTAATTAATTTAATTTAATTATAAAAACGAAAATCTATTATTAATTTCTTTAAAAAGAATGACCAATCAAAATGAACATATAAGATTTGATATCTAACTTACCATATTAATTTGTTATTAATCATTATACTTCACCTCTCATTTTTATATGATTCTATTTCTATAAATAAATAAATCATTATATCATCTATATAATAAAAAAAAAAAGTAATTTTTTTCCGCATATACCAAGATTTGAATTTTTAAAAACGAATATAAATTATTCAATGTATGAAAGAAGAAATTTAACGGGTCAAAAATCATATTTGAGTAATATATTCCTTTTTTTTTAATATCATCAATACTTAATGGATCAAAAATTTATGAAGTATAAATACTCTAATTTGATTTTTTGAAACAAATATTTATAATAAGCGGCGGGTTGAATATAATATATTATATGATGAAATGAGTTATGATCCTTATAATTATTTGAATATTTATATTTAATTTCATATCATTTTTTTAAATTCATAATTTTACATAATACAATAAAAAATTTTAAGGATTTTAATTTGGAACATTTTAAAATAGTTTAATTTAATATATTAAAGAATATCATAAATATTTAATAGATTAAAAAGATAAAAAAAATTATAAATACATTAATTTGATTTTCTAAAAAGATATGTTTAAAATATTTATAGTAGGCGGCGGGTTAAATGTAATGTATTATATGGTAGAAAGTTATGATCCTTATAACAGACGGCATTTTAAGATTTTATGATGAGATGAGTTAAATAAGGTTTGACACTTCTAAATATTTGAAAATTTGATTCTGCAATCAATTTTGAAAATAATAAATAATATACTGTGCCGCAATATTTTTATACGGATTGTAAAATGAAAATATAGAATCCACACACGGATTGAATTTGGTATTATTATATACCAAATATATGTTCATAACATACTTATTTGATTATGTGAATAATTGGTAAATTCCGTAATTAGCTCAAACAAATCTCTATTTCAACAACCAATGAATCAGAATTTGAAAAAATAATTTTCTAAATTAATTCAAAATAATAGCTAATTTTCTTAAGTAATTCAAAATAATCTACGTTTTAGATGCGATTCATTTATGATATTTTGATTTTTGATCTAACTAAATTATATGCACTCTCATTTTGTGGTTGTTAACATAAATTAACTCATTGTTCAAACAATATTAATTTTTTTTTAAATAATCTTATTTTCCGTTTTCATATCTTAAAAAAAATATCCATAATTGAATACTATAGAAAAAGGAAAATATATTCATTCTAATATTATATATAGGGATTGACAAAAAAATATTATTTTTTCACTTACTATTATAATATATCACAACTTTATTCTAAAACATAAAATTTATAAATTTTGTAATAAATGAAATTCAACCCGTACTACAGTACGGGTGATGATCTAGTTAGAGATAATAATGTCTCACTTTCGAATGTGAGGTTATTGGCATGTTCCTTCAATATGATGAACTTGATCTAGGAGGATTCTCATTTTGGATCAGTATATTCATCATGCATGTGATTGTGTATATAGATGTTTCCAACTAAAAAACAGTCAATAGATGGAATGATGCATATCACTAATATTTAAGTATCGTTGTTCATACTTAATGTGGACAAGGTACTCTCTACTTAGTATGGATATTCTCATTAATTATTATGTCCAATCTGAGTTTATGTGTGGCTTCTGATTTTTTAGGTCTTACTTAAAATGACGATTAAATGACAAAACAGAGCATATTAAAATAAGTTAACCAGTTTATCTGTGTAGACACTTGTTAATAGTATCAAAGAGTCATTATATTTATTTGATCATATTCGAGTAGGGAATATTAGTAAGGTTGATTTCGTATATTAAAAAAACATATTATTTCTGTGTTTTGTTGTCAATAAAGTAGTAGCCGGTGGAAACCTAACCTTATATATTGGGTCGTCTTACATTCAATGGTGAAAAGAAGTTGTCTTAAAATATGTTTCAACAACAATTTAAAATCTAATATATAGATATAAGTTTAGATTTGTTAAATTTTCGTTTAGGTAGAGACCAAAGGAGAAGGAAAAATAAGCTAAGTCATATAGTATATGTGACTATACTAATTTTAGGGATTATTACAAATTTATACTTTGTATTATATGGATTTAAATCCACTAAAATTCCAATCCATTCTTTTAAAAAATGTTTTAAAATATGTAAAGTTTGGATAAGAAAAGATGAAATAAAATTAGGTTTAAACACAACTTTATTTTTGGATATGAAAAGATAAAGTAAGCAAACAAATTATATAAATACACCACCATTGAGACATTAATTACATTCGGCATTAATAAGCATCCCGTATAATCAATCACTCAAGTAAAACCCAATCAAGATAATCAAGTCGGTTAGAATAAACCATGAAAACGCTTGAGAGGAAAAAAAATCAGAAAATTAAAGTGGTCTTCGTCATTCTTCTTTGTGCTCTTTCTCTGTAAAACAGACATTGAACATCTCGGGAATGAGCAGCTTTGCAATTCAAATCTTGTACCCTTCATCATTAGCCTCTTCTTCAATTCTGGTACGATTTGAGTCATTGTGAGCTTGGTATTCAATTCTGATAATATGAATTCAATGCTTGGAATTAAACTTGAAGCTCAAGTTCATCAATGGTATATATATATCACTCTGTCGACGACAGAGGAGGAGGAGCCGACGACGGAGGAAGAGGAGGAAAAAACAAATTTGGATAATAAAAAACAAATCTGGTTAGATGAAATTGAATTTGGCTTAAACACACTTTATTTTTGGATATGAAAAGATAAAGTAAGCTAAGTGATTAAATAAATACTCCACCATTGAGACGGGAAGAAGAAGAAGAAGAGACATTAATTACATATTTTGTATAATTAAGCGTCATGTATAACTACTCAAGTTAAACCGAATCAAGATAACCAAGTCGGTTAGAATAAATCCGAAAACCGGAAAAATGCGTGAGAGAAAAAGAAATCAGAGAATTAAAATCGTCTTAGTCATTCTTCTCTGTGTTCTTTATCTGTGAGACAGACATTGATGTTTCTAACATCTCGGGAACGAGCAATTGTCAATTCAAATTTTGTATCCATCATTAACTAGTTTTAGCCTCTTATTCAATTTTCGTACGATTTTCGAATCTGCGATTGAGTCATTGTGAGCTTGATTTATGAGGAATTCAATGTTGGTTGTGGTTGGAGCCCATGGAGTGGCAAACCACCTACTATGAAGAGAAATTGGTGGAGGTGAATTTCATATATAAAAAATGATTTCTATGTTTTGTTGTCAATAAAGTAGTAGCCCGTGGAAACCTAACCTAACTATATATTTGGATCGTCTTGTATTGAATGGTGAAAATAAGTTCTCTTAAAATGTTTCTACCATTAAGTTAAATAGAATTTGTTCTAGCATATACTATAGCAAAAGAGGTAGATCCGTAGATGTATATCTTGTAAGTTATAATAACTGTTGTAATTGGCCAAGTTCCCAAAAAATCTACTCTGGATGAATGAATAATTTATTTCAACCCATATATGGTTTCAGTTTCAGATTTTAATTCTAATCCAAACTACTTTAGTTTTAGCCTAAGATTATGTGATTCGCTTACTTGATACATAGTATCTTATAAGTAGTTCAATCATTAGATATGATTTTAAAATTTAAACATATAGTAATCAAATGTGTTAGTTATTAAAGATATGATTATCTTATTTTTTTAGGAATCGGCTAGTTAGGAAACAACACATCCAATCAATATTCACCAAATTATCAAAAGATATGATTCTTTGAAACTCTACCGCGTCTGATTCCAACTCTCCCTATGGCGGCGGCCTAGGAGCATGCTATGTTTACATACCAACAATAAATATGCTTGTTAAGTTATATTTTTTGAGTTTTTTTTCTAGTCTTAAATAGTAGTAGTTTATACTATTTCTTTATGGCATAATTAAGCATCCCATATAATCAATCACTCAAGTAAAACCCAATGAGATAACCAAAAATCGGTTAGAATAAACCGGGAAAACGCGTGAGAAAAACAGCAGAAAATTAAAGTGGTCTTCATCATTCTTTTTTGTAAAACAGACATTAACATCTTGGGAATGCGCAGTTTGCAATTCAAATCTTAAACCCATCATCATTAGCCTCTTGTTCAAATCTGGTATGATTGAGTCATTATGAGTTTGGTCTTCAATTCTGAAACGATGAATTCAATACTTTGTATCAAACTTGAAGCTTAAGTTCATGAATGGTGTATATATAATACTCTTCATCTGCTTCTCTCCTCACCACTCACTCTTCTTTTGCTTCTCTCTTCAAACGAAAATGTGATCTGTTTTCATTGTTTTTCTTTCAAGTGTGATGAAAGAGATGAGAAAGACTTAAGGTTTTTGAGTGGAAGAAGTTGGTGAAGGTTGGAGCTCAAGGAGTTGATAGCTTAAGTATATAGAGAGTAGTGTGACAATTTAATTCTCTCGGAATGTGAGTAGTATCTGACTATCTAGTCTTTGCAATGTGGAAGTCGATTGTTCTTGCTTGTGTATGAGCCTAAACTAGATACTCATAGGAACATTAGGTTGTTTGGACATTTAGACTTTCATTTGCAAGAATCTAGATTTGTACCAAAGACCATTACGATTAATCAAATAGGGCTACTGGGAGAGATTTGATGTCCATTGTTTGATCTTTGCCTCTCACAGTTGAATTTGTTTACCATATCAAGTTAGATTGTTTGTGAATTTAGTGTTGTATTTGAGATCTATACAACTGTGTAAACTATATTTGCCATATGGTTTGTTCTATATTTTTATGCCCTGTTTCTGATTAGACATTCTGAATCCAAATTTATTTTTGTTATAAATATCAGAAATTACTTGTACATGTCCGCCGCTTGAGAAGATGTAAAATCCAATATTATAGCAAACTACTCTAAATTTGCAAAAGAAATTAGACCTAATAACCAAACAAGTTTTACGAATTACCAAACATTTTTGTTTCTTTGGTTGTTTTATTTTTTACTTTTGGAGAAATCCATCTTTCAAAACTTCAAGTCCAAGAAGTCAAAACCAAAACCATAAATCAACCAAATCTTTATTTGATTTTCACATTAACTAAAATCTAAACAGACTCATTCACACTCACCCAATAGAACAAACCTGAACTACCAGTCTTTATTAAAGAAAATCATAATCCTTCTTCTTCCTAAAAGGGATTCAGTAATCATACAAACTCCTTCATGTTTAATGCAGAAACCATTACATAACCCAAAGAAATTCATCAACATCGTGACTGAAGATAGACCACACACTCAAACACTCCTCTGAACATTCCGCTAACACAGCTACTTGATTTGTGTACCTTTTCAGTTCCAAACACATGAAAGAATAATAATCAAGATAAATGTAGACAATATAAGCTTACAGAGATCGTTATGTGAGCTTTATATTACCTAGATGATGCGAAGAGGGTGAGAACCTGACGAGATCCCAAGAATCATCACTCATCTGTGGTAGAACACAGGAACAAAAAAGGAATAAGACATTGTCATTTGGTCAGATCATAGATATATTTACTGAAATAACCCTTTAATCACAACACATTTCAATGTTTGAAGATACACAGAGAGGAATCACTTAATAAACCATGCAGTCTATACATTGCTAGTCGTGATGCAGTATGGTGAAGATAACAAATGTAACCTTCAGATTATATAGCCTTTTTACCTTATCAGTATACATTCAGATTCTTTTTACAAATTCACTAGGCAGCTCCAATCTTGTAACGTATGCCAAACGTTCTAGAACTAACACCAGTGATTATCTTACTGAAGAAGCAATCTACGAAACTCAGTAACTTTATTTGACAAGTTTTCATCAGAACTTTTCTATTATAAAAGTAAGAAGGTAATGCTACATCTCAATTAGATTTGATATCTAAACATTACTAAGTCAAGAGTATAGATAAACTTTTTTTTTGGCATGTTACACAACCAGATTCTTCCTACAAATTCCCATGCTTTCCTAGATTTTTCTCTGTTAACATCCCTGCTATTGTAACCTTTCCTAGTCTGGATCAAAGCAAACAACAACAAAAAATATGATTGAAGCTTCCTTTTTTAGAAATACTGCACTATTTGATTTTCAAACAACACGTATACATTCACCAATTTACGAAATGAGGGGTTATAGAAGCTTAAAAGACATCATTTCTTATCTGCCTTTTCCCAAGTCAAGAATCATAATACTTGGATGCTAATGATACTTAATGTTGCCTCAAACTAAACCCAACAGAGAAAAATAAAATCAAACAAACTCACTTAGAAAAGTTCATTCTTTAAGGGTGGTCAAAAGAAACTTTCTTCTGGACTAGTAGTAGGTGCTAGAGTATTTTAAATCTAAACACAATCAATGGGTAGTGTAAACAATGCAAGAAATAGAACGATGTCGGCGCTTCTTTTTCCCACGTGTAGGAACAACAATCTTCTACATATTATACAGCAAATTAGCCATAACCACCAAAAAATATGATATATACTATACAACTAACTTCAGTAAATCGAAACAGTTTCGACAGATGAAGAAGAATATATACAAATCCACAGAATGAATACACTAAAGCTAGGAAATTATCTATGTACATGACCATCATCCTCTATTTTCGGGTAAGCAAAGCAATGAACATGGACAATAGTTCTCACTAAATCGAAAAAATCATCTTAGTTCAGCTATAACTTTCCTGTACTACCATCTATGGCAATATTTATTAACATATTCACAAATCACAAGACTCACTACACTACTAAATCTAAATCTAACACATCAACAGAAACATCCATGAAAAAAAAAATACGAAAGCAGCTCATCAATCAATCACTGAATCACATAGAGATAGAGATAATTGATCCCTGACCTTTGATGTGTTCATGATGAGCAGAAGCAGAAGCAGCAACAACATCTTCATCATCATCTCCACCAGACTTGACAGTAACAACAGGAACAGGTCCATCACGATCATCAGGATATCTAACCACAACAACGGGACAAACACAGTGATGAACACAGTAATCACTAACAGAGCCAAGCTTGCCATCACTTCCTCTTTTCTCAGCACCAAAACCTCTACTTCCCATAATCACAGCACTAAGACCAAGCCTCTCAATCTCAAGACATAATCTCTCCCTCATATCATGATCTTTCACTATATGGATCTTATAAGGAAACCCTAATTCCTTCAACGGCTTAGCTAGATCCGCAACTTTGGTTGAAGTAAAAGCATCAAAATCCTCTTGACTAGGCTGAGATTGAGCGTTTGGATCTTCCACAGAAGGTTGAGTTTTCAGAGGGAGAGGTCCCCAATCGGCACCGAAGAGGACCGAGGTTGGAGAAACATGGAGAAGAACAACGGCGTCTCCGGGACGGATGTAGTGATCTACAGCCCAACGTACAGCGAAAGAACTTTCTTCAGAGAGATCAACAGCGACTCCGATTTTACGACGAGCTCCGGCGGTTGGAGTTGGAGTTGCGGCGGAGGAGGGAGTGGAAGAGGAGTGGTGGTGGTGAGAGTGACGTGGAGATGGAGGGTGATGGATCTTGATGTTTGGAAGCTGAGGATGATCGGAATCTGGATTCATGATTTTTTTCAGATGTTGTTTTTGTTCGTCGGAAAGTGAATGAAATGAAGAGTGAGAGAGGTTTCTCTTAACGGAGAAGAAAGAACCGTGTTTTCTCCAATTCTTTAAAATATCTGTTTTTGTTTTTTAAACATTAGACTGCATGCCGTTATTTTTACCCAAAAACGACAAGCAATCCAACACAGATGTAGTTAATAGACGGAGTGATTCAACGGTCAGGATTAAATCTGAGCGCCATAGTTGAAGAAGACGATTCACTAGATCTCCGGCGTCGGTGATTTCCTCCACTTCCTTCTTCCTGCAGCTTGAAGACGAAACCTCACTCAAATTCTGATCTCTCTGTATCTATCGATCGAGGTTTTCGTATGTTTCGTCTAGATCGGTGACTCAGATGGCGAACTACTTGGCTCAGTTCCAGTCGATTAAAAATTCCTGCGATCGTCTCGTCACCGCCGGTAAATTTCTCCCCAATTTTTTTTCAAATCTATAATTTTCTAGGGTTTTTGTTTCTCTACGATTGCTGCATTCTATTAGGATCTTACTTCTCCTCTTTTTTTTGCCACATTTTTGCGATGTCATAGTTAGATATTAGTGGAAACTTTCTCAATGTAGCTGAAGGAGGTGATATGAATTTGTTAGGTTGTTGGTTGGTCAGATTATACTCATGAATGAAGCTAAAAGTGCTTAGAAATGAGCATCAATTCCTGAATTTCTCTGAAATTGGAAAGTGAGAGAACTGATCAAGAGGATTTCTTCTGTTTCTGACCTTTAACTCTACTTGTTCGTTAGTATTAAGATTTCTTCTCTTTCTTTTTGTTCCCTTTTACAGTGGAAGATGTGTGTGATCTGTGGCCTACAGTGAAAGGTTTATTTGAAGAACATCAGCCATTAAAAAGAGCATTCTTGACAAACAAGACACGAAATCCGGTTTTTGTTGAGAACTTGCCGGTTGAATTCATATTAACTACAGACGCGAGACTTCGTAGTCGGTTTCCGCAGGAGCAATATTTGTTCTGGTTTCGAGAACCATATGCAACTATTGTTCTTGTCACGTGTGAGGTACTTGTCTTGTTGATATCTTGTTTTCTGTTTTCGTTTCTCTGTGTCATTCTTGGCAGTGGAGAGTAGTCACTTGCTAAAATATGAAACAAAGATGATTTGCTTGATGATATATGTTTCTATTTTCCTTTGCTGTAAGAGACAAGAACCTATGTCTAGATAGTAGGCACCGTTTCTAATGTATATTGTTTCTGGACTAGGTTAGATTTATCACTTATGTGGTTGTCTAGATAGTAGGCACCGTTTCTAATGTATATTGTTTCTGGACTAGGTTAGATTTATCACTTATGTAGTTCGACAATTTTTGTTCTTCTAGCTTTTCTGAGTATACCTTTGACCTTGCAGGATCTTGATGAGTTTAAAAACATTCTCAAACCACGTCTGAAATTAATTGTTCAGAATGATGAGAGGGAATGGTTTATTGTATTTGTATCTAAAGCTCATCCAAGTAATGATCAAGCAACTAAATCTGTCAAGAAAGTATATGCGAAGCTTGAAGTTGACTTCAGTTCAAAAAAGAGAGAAAGGTCAGCAATGCAGATTGGACTGTGTTTTATGTTTTTTTTGCTTTGATACAAGTAGGCAAGAATAAAAAAATAACACCACGCCAGATGCCTAACGAGACTTAATTGCTCCTACTACAGTTCTAATAAAAATAGATTAGGTTAAACAGTTGCACGATTTCAATTACTCATATTTTTGCTAGATGCATAAATCACTCATTTAAAGGAAGTTATCTGTAAGTTATTTACTTATGAAAATGCATACGGGATAAACGCTACAACACCTTTTTATTTACTTGATCAGTTTTACTTAATTTATGCATGCCATACATAGTCTTCATTTGATAATTTTTGCAATGCTTTTAAGGTGCTGTAAGCTGGATGTACATGGCCCTGACGGAAATTTTTGGGAGGATCTGGAATTAAAGATTACCGAGTGCATCAGGAATACCTTGGATAGGCGTGCCCAATTCTACGAGGATGAGATACGCAAGCTCAGTGAGCAGCGGTTTATGCCAATATGGAACTTTTGTAACTTTTTTATCCTGAAGGTTAGCTCTCTTCTCAATTTCCGAAAGGAAAGTGAAATGTGGCTTCTATGCAGATGAATAAAATGGTTCATAATCCCGTTTCTTCCTTTTTAAATTAGATTTTATACTGTTTTAATAAACTCTTTGATGGAGATTTATGTGCTCCTTTTGTTGCTTCCATAGAAGTATGAAAAGAATCCCCATCTGTTAAGCTTAGAAGTCACCTTTGGTCCTTGCAGTCACATTTGATGAAACTTTTCTCATTTTCTTAAAGGTCATAATGTTCTATGCTATCTCAGGAAAGTTTGGCTTTCATATTTGAGATGGCTCATCTTCATGAAGATGCATTACGTGAATATGATGAACTAGAGCTCTGCTATTTGGAAACAGGTTCTTTGCCTACCTCTGTATCTCTTTCTTGCAGACCCGTGGCAATAAAAGCTCCATGTTTTGTCTATTTGGTATATTTTATATTCTTAGGTTTTGAGAAACCTGACATATATCTTTATCTCTAAAAGCATTTGGGATCAGTAGTCATCCAACAAACTGATTTCTTTTTTCGAGATTTTTTCTGAAAAATAAGCTATCACGCATTACCTTCAATGCAGTTAATATGCCTGGGAAACAGAGGGATTTTGGAGGATTCGACAGTGAAGATGACCAAGCTGTGCTGCTGAAACCAGGAAGCAAACCATTGACACAGATTGTGCAAGATGATTCTTTTAGAGAATTCGAGTTTAGGCAGTATCTCTTTGCCTGTCAATCTAGGGTTGGTGCACACAAGAGCCATCATATTGATCACAGTGTCCTTTTCTCCATTCTAAACTGTAGCTTTGCTTTAACAACCTTTTCATTAGCTTACCTCTATGTGGTTCTTTGCAGCTGTTGTTCAAGTTGAATCGTCCTTTTGAAGTTGCATCTAGGGGCTATTCTTTTGTTATTAGTTTTGCAAAGGCCTTGACCCTCCATGAGGTAGCCTATACTGTTACTAAAGAAACGCTTATTATCTTACTTTTGATTTGTTGATTTGACCAAGCTTATTTCCTCTCTTCTTTTGATATTTTTGTAGAGTGTACTGCCCTTCTGTATGCGGGAAGTTTGGGTAATTACTGCATGTTTAGCACTGATCGAAGCAACTGCTTCTCATCACCATGATGGAGTTGTTGCACCTGATATTGAGAAGGAATTCTTCCGTCTTCAGGGTGATCTCTATTCACTTTCACGGGTTAAGGTAGAAATCTGCTTGCTTTCAAAATTTGTACAATGAACAAAACCCCTGTTACTCTTCCCATTTGCTGACATCCTCTTTCAATTTCTGACTGGAATTTGAATGGAGTTCTCCGTTGAATAATTTATATTGAGTTGATATTGCATTTGTCTATGTCATAGTTCACTAATTGTCTTATGTGATGTCTACTAGATCCTTCATGTCCAGTCACTTAAAAAGTTGATTTGTTGGTTGCATATAAATTTAATCTGAATACTATATTTATGCCCATTGAAATGCCTTTCTGATCATGGCAGTTCATGAGACTTGGATATCTGATAGGATATGGAACAGACATAGAAAAGAGTCCACTGAACAGGTACGGGTCTATTTTTGTTATAGCATGTGCATTACTTGTTATATAGAAGTATTAGTTCTCCAATGACTTCCCGTAGAGAAAGGATTACCCAATTAGTGAGGAAGTATATGTTTCACTTTAAAAAACAGAGCAAGTCTTTATTTGCTGAAAAAAGCATGTCGATTTTTCTCTCTTTGGGATTAGGCTATGCTGATGATGTTTAGTAGTAACTCCTACACATTTTATGGACAGTGCTTGTCTCAGTATGCTGCCTTGGCCAAAACCGGCTGTCTGGCCATCTCTTCCACAAGACGCTTCCTCTGAGGTGCTTGAAAAAGAAAAGGTATAATATAAATATGCTGCGTGAATGTGTATCTATCTGATAGCATTGTTATGGAAGCCAATCATGCTTTAGATTCGAGCTAAGAGTTAGCTGTACTTGCATGGCCTCTAGTGGACACTGACATAATAACAGGGTATTGTTTGTAAATGTATTGTATGCGAGATTTAGGTCTGCGTAACTATATTTACCATCTGTTTTTTCTTTTAGAATACTTATCTCCTTGTTTTGGTACAGACTATTCTTCAAGCAACTACAAAGACCAAGCACTTTGGTATTCAACGGAAAGCTTTACCTCTTGAACCATCTGTCCTTTTACGTGTAGCTAACAGAAGAAGGGCTTCTCTGTCTACCGGAAATATTCCTGAAATATTTGATGGCCGCCCAAGTTTTACTGAAGGGTAATGAAATTTATAAAATTCTGTTCTTTAGCCCTTCTTGTTTTCAAATGTGTTAGTACTTAATCTCATTTTTCTTCGAAGTTTCCAGGAAGTATTGCAAATCATCACCTTCTGTTATTCTTTAAGGAACTAAAATGATATGTTTATATATTTCGACAGATCAGGTTTAGAAGCATCTCCGAGAACCCCTTCATCACTTAAAGTACAAGCACCTCCCATGTCGAGAACAAATTCTTCACCTGGAAATTTTGAGAGTCCCCTAGATAGACCTATGAGGCTTGCTGAAATTTTTGTTGCAGCTGAGCATGCTCTGCGACTTACCATTTCAGATCATGATTTGTTGAAGACATTGTCATCTATTCAGGATTTTGAGGTAGCATGCTAATACCATTTACATAAGGACATCTTCTGATTTTTATGCTGCTCTTTCTTCTAGCTTCTTATTTATAAATTTTGTTGTGGCAGAATAAATATCTTAATCTAACCAAAGGTGCTGCCGAAAACTATCACCGTTCTTGGTGGAAGAGACATGGAGTCGTTCTTGATGGGGAAATTGCAGCTGTCTGCTTCAAGCACGGAAAATATGATTTGGCTGCAAACTCTTATGAAAAAGTTTGTGCCCTTTATGCGGGTGAAGGATGGCAAGATTTACTGGCAGAAGTCTTGCCTAATTTAGCTGAGTGTCAAAAGATTCTTAATGATCAAGCGGGGTACATGTCATCTTGTGTTAGACTACTTTCGTTGGATAAAGGTTTATTCTCGTCCAAGGAGCGGCAAGCTTTTCAGTCCGAGGTTGTTACTCTTGCACACAGTGAAATGAAGAACCCAGTTCCCTTAGATGTGTCATCATTGATTACGTTTTCTGGAAATACTGGCCCTCCACTTCAGTTATGTGATGGAGACCCTGGGAATCTATCTGTTACTGTGTGGAGTGGCTTTCCTGATGACATCACCCTTGATTCGCTTAGTCTTACCTTGGTAGCCACCAACAACACTGACGAAGGCGGCCAGGTTTGCTCCATAAGACATGAATTTTCTCGTTCTTTTCTTCTATCAAATTTCACGTTCTTAAGAACTTTGTATATGGACTGGCTTTCAGGCTTTAAAGAGTTCCGCTGCAACTGTGCTAAAGCCCGGAAGGAATACTATCACTTTTGCTTTGCCTCCACAAAAACCCGGTTCCTATGTCTTGGGAGTTGTTACTGGCCAGATTGGGCGCTTGAGATTCAGGTCTCACAGCTTTTCGAAGGGTGGTCCTGCAGATAGTGATGACTTCATGAGTTATGAAAAGCCAACCAGACCTATCCTAAAGGTAAACAATCTCCCAATTTTAAGAAATTAAATACAGCTTTTGGAACAGTAGAAAATCATTGAGTACATACATGAGTAAACTCTTGTGGACACTTTTTCCTTTGTTGATACGATAGACATTTTATTCTTAGGTTTCCAAACCAAGAGCTCTGGTTGATCTTGCTGCAGCTGTATCTTCTGCGCTGCTAATAAATGAAGCCCAGTGGATTGGTATCATAGTACGTCCTATTGCTTACTCACTTAAAGGCGCCATCTTGCACATTGATACTGGTCCAGGGTTAAAGATTGAAGACTCGTATGGCATTGAGATGGAGAGATACATGGACACAGATTGTGATGCTGGTGCATCAAAAGCTGATGTTTTTGTAGAAGATAGACCTGTCTCTCCAAAACGGGATTCAGAGGTGCTTAATCTTTGCGAAGGTAAAATAGTGTTCTCAGATTGGGCAAGCAATGTGAGTTCTATTCTGTGGGTCCCTGTTCGTGCATTGAGTGAGAAGCTTGCTAGAGGGTCATCTTCAGGTTTGCAACAAACATTGATTTTCTGATTAATATGACATGTTTGTGTCACATCCACTGGCCAATGATCATATTTTTTTTGCGTTAACAGTCACTCCGCTGAAACAAGATATTTTAGAGGGAATGAGAACTGTAGCTTTGAAACTTGAATTTGGGGTGCATCATAACCAGATATTTGAGAGGTATTTCTTCCTTGTTGTGGCAAATCTTGATCATCGTTTTTCCACATCAGAGGTTTGACCCGACTCAAGCAGTTCTTTTCCTCATCATATTTTCTTCTAATTTTGTTATGTGAGCAGAACCATAGCTGCACATTTTACCGACCCTTTTGATGTGACCACAAGGGTGGCAAACAAATGCAATGATGGCACTTTGGTCTTGCAGGTAGCCAACTTTAGCTCCTTAAAATTTAACAATCTTATCCTTAACCTCTCTGTTCCCTCAATCTTATTCACGTCCACCCAAGATTATCAATGAAGTAATTTCTATCTACAGGTTATGCTACACTCCCTAGTCAAGGCGAACTTGATAGTTCTTGATGCTTGGCTTGATCTTCAAGATGGATTTGTTCATGGACAAAATGATGGAAGACCGACTTCAACGTTCTTTCCGCTTGTTGTGTCTCCAGGATCTAGAGCAGCAGTCGTGTTCAGTATATGCCTAGACAAGACTATGTCATCAGGTATTCCTATCCTTCTGAAGAACGGTTAATATGACTCAGATTTTTACTTTATACCTTAGTTTTGGTCAAACACACTTAAACTCATAACGCCATTTGCAGCTATTTATGATTCCAGAACAAAAAGTATTCTAATATAGATTTGAAGAGAGTTCGATAAGGGCTTAGGAAGATCAACCTAATAGAACATGTCAAACCCCTGAACTCTTGTCTTGTTCATTTCTTCCATAACTCGTTTCTGTAGGCTTATCTAGTTTACACAGATCTTAGTTTCTGTGAACCTTCTCAATCAGGATGCAAGTATTTGGGTGATTCCCTTTTATGTGTGGCTATAAGCATACAATGCATATGAAACAGAGAAATATAATAGGTTTTATTAACTGCAAACTAACTAATTGTTTGTACGACAGAAGGGAAAGATTTGCAGCTACCAGAGAGCATTCTGAATATCAAATATGGAATCCATGGGGATAGGGCAGCTGGAGCACACAAGCCAGTGGATGCAGATCACACTGGAACTGATACTGAAGGGAGAGATTTGGTGTTCAAGAGTGCTATTGTTTTGCAGCGTCCAGTGCTTGATCCTTGCCTCACAGTTGGATTCCTCCCACTTCCTTCTGATGGGCTTAGGGTCGGGAAACTTATCACCATGCAGTGGAGAGTGGAAAGGCTTAAAGATCTCAAAGAAAGTGAAGCCGTGGAACAACAACATGTAAGTGATGTCCATATCGAGCTACTCGATATAGCTTCTTCCTATCTATTGAAACTATATATTACTTTAAAATATCGGCATGTTCATCAAATGTTGTTGTTTTATTTACACAAGGATGAGGTGTTATATGAAGTCAATGCAAATTCGGAGAATTGGATGATCGCTGGTAGGAAGAGAGGCCATGTCTCTCTCTCAGAGGAGCAAGGTAAGTAATCTTTTCTTCTTCTCACTTGTTTTAGTGCAAGAAACAACAAATGATGATATGTTGTTAATTTTGTTGGCTGGTTCCAATAAATACTACAGGTTCAAGAGTAGTAATCTCGATACTATGTGTCCCGTTAGTTGCGGGTTATGTCCGTCCTCCTCAACTCGGGTTGCCAAACGTAGAAGAAGCAAATGTAAGCAGCAATCCATCGGGTCCTCACTTAGTATGTGTCTTGCCTCCACTTCTCAGTTCTTCCTACTGCGTACCTGTCAAGTAATAGAATCTCACTCTTTTATTTTTTCCAAGAATACATTTTTTCTGTATTTTTATTTTGTTTGCGATCAAAGAAATATCAGAGTATTGATTGAGTTCATGGGATCATCAATGATGAGAGTGATTTTTCTTTTGTGACGATTTTACTTCCGACTTATGGATCTCATCTCGCAAACCTAGACTAACTCGAAGTCGACTACACTGACTAAACACGCAAGTGAAGCGGCTTACCAATATAAACGTACTACAAATGTATTCCTTCTTACAAAAAGCATTGCTGTCAATTTTTGCAATATTTGTTCGATTTTTACTCCACAAAAATATACGCCGTAAATATCCAAAAAGATTGTGTTTCACTAAAAACTTGGTCGACAAGGCCATTAATTTTCTTGTATTAATGGAAGGTTTTTGGTGGAGAGTGAATATTAGGGTTTTTCGCTAAATTAGGTTTTGCTTTTACTCTCTTCACTCTCTTTCTCTTCACGAACTTTCACTAAGAACATCTTATTTAGGTAAAGTAGATTTCTTTCGATACTCCACAATCCAAAATATTGAAAACTTGGTGGGCAAGGTCATTTCCTCTGTAATTAATATAAGGTTTTTTATAGGTGGGGGAAGAAAATTACCAAATTTTTAAATTAGGGTTTTCATCATGTCTCTTGTTCTTAGCCGGCTATCGAAGCTCTGCCGTGTGAAACCAGCTGGGTTGATAAGATACTCTCTTGTGATTCTGTCTAATGGTTTCTCAACTTCCTTGCGGCAAACGCCACCTTGTACCATCATCACCACTGCTTATTTTAGAGAGGATCTTAGAAAACTCGTGATTATGAATGCTAATGGAGTTTGCTGCGTTGATTTGGAAAAGAAGGTGCCCTTTGAGTTGGTGGATGAAGATGTAGTGATAACGTTCGGGGCATCTCATGGCTGGGTAGCTACTTTGAAGGACGACGGAATCGTGCGTCTCCAAGACGATCTAAACCCTTATGCATCGGATACAGATCCGAAACGCATCTCGCTGCCTCCTCTCGTGACTCTGCCTGGTTGTCAAACCGAAGTTGCGGCCAACGTGGCCATGTCCTCTTCTTCTCCCGAGGATGAAGACTGTGTTGTGGCTATCAAGTTCTTGGGACCTCAGCTCAGCTTTTGCAGACCCGCTCAAAGTAACTCCGAGTGGATCAATGTCAGAATCGAAAACCCCTGTTTCTTCTCCTCACGTGTCATGTTTTCCAAGAGAGATGAGATGTTTTGCCTACTCGGATCTGGAGGCCACCTGATTGGATCATGGGATCTCCGTAAACACACGCACAAACCAAAGTTTCAGAGGTTGCGATTTCAAAACCTTCCCGAGCTGACCAAGACCAAACGGGAGCTTCTGGTTTCTTGCTGCACAAGCGAACACTTGGTGGAGTCACGATCCACCGGTGAAACTTTCTTGGTTAAGTTGTACAGGAAGGCCACCGCCAATGGTAGGGTGAAAATGAAAACGAAAGCTCTAATGGTGTTCAAGCTTGACAAAGAAGGAAACGCTATTTACACTGAAGACATTGGAGATCTCAGCATTTTCATCTCGAAGTCAGAACCTTTTTGTGTCCCTGCTAGTTCCTTTCCAGGCATGTGCTCTAACAGCATCGAATTCGTGGATGTTGACGAAAGGGTCATTGTCAATCTTCCTCCTTCTTCCATCAATAGTGTAAATTATCCGTCTGTGGCTCCTTATCATATTCCACCTCAAAATATAGACTAGCTAGTACTTTAGAATTGAGTCTGAGACTCTGAGTCATGAATCCATAATTAGAAGCTTATCCTCACGAGTAGTTGGTGTAACAGATCATGGCTATGTGGTTTTTGTTGTTCAAGTTTTGAACTTTTTGATATAACATTGAATCTGTCCCCTTCACTTTAAAAGTCGTTTTATTGGTGTTGACTCTCTCAAGTTCCACTGTAATAAAATGATATGTTACATTGTTTATATGCAAGTCAGCATAAGCTTAAACAGAACTCGTGACGACTTCACCTACTCTGTTGATGCAACTAACTTAGTCTGAAACACTTATATAGTTTGAATTTTGTTCTTACGTCAATCTTATTGTATGGCTAGCTACATAAATTTGTTAGTGTTAGTGTCATGACCATCATAGAGAAATATAAGAATAAGATTTTTCAATGGGGTATAACCTATAAATACTTTAGCCATTTCATATCTTATACCATCTAACAAATTCTATAACCCAAAAATAAAAGAAACGTTTAGGAAATTTTTGATAAGGTATATAAACTTATACATCTACTATCATCTGATTTATTCCAAGATCTCCCTTATAGTCACTGAAAAGAGAGGAATGCTAGACTACACGCTTCTACGTCTCGCATGCAATCACTAATTCAAGAGAAGTTCTAAGTGATTCAGAGGGAAATGATACACTCTCAGACAATTAGAGAAATATGAAAGATATTTAGTTCTTTATAATGTCCCAAGTTTCCAAAGCTGATTTAGTTTTTTTTTGCGTGGATTTGGTCAAAAATTCAACTTAAAGGTGTGAAGAGACTCCAGTTTGTTAGGAGGGTTGAAAAGCAAGGAAGAGATAAGAAACTCTGGTTCAAACAGAGGGTTCACTTTTGAACCAAAGATATAAACTTTCATCTTCTCCCACTCTCTCATTCTCTCTCTCATTGCGTCATCACCTGAACCGAGTCGTACAAGCAGAAAAAATTGGAGGGTAGTGAACAGACGCGTGAAGCCGCCGCCTCCGGTTTGTACAAGTCAGGGTTGATTGAGGGACAGAGCCGACAACTAGAAAATTGGAGCACAAGTTGTAAGAGTGTTCGGACTTAGGATCCCGGTTTGGGACATGATAACTCGTAAATTTTTGTTCTTTACTTTTCCAAGCGAGAGAAACAGAGGTTTGAGAGAAATTCTTTTTAAGTTCTAAGTACAAAGCTTGCATCTTTCTTTAGCCTAAAAAAGTGTTGAAAAAGTGTTGACTTTCTTGGTTCTAAATTAAACATCCACAGTTTTGTTTTTATGTATATATTTTTTTTGTTTTATGTATATATGTGCTTTTTTTTTGTCGAAATGTATATATGTGCTTATATGTAGACAATTTATTATAAAACATTTTGTTTTCCGAATGCATAACATGATGATGTAAGATTTAAATAGACAGATACAAAAAGAAAAGAAACTATATATATATATATATATATATAAATACACACACTTACTGTATACGATTATTTATCTCTATCTTTCTTGTCTCTCTCTAAAAAAAACAATCTCTCTCTATCTTTCTTATTTCTCTAAAAAAAACCTAAAAGTATGTGGAAGCTTGTTTCTCCAATCCGTTCCCGTGTTCTAGGTCTAGGGAAACATCCATTTAATTCAAGTGCTGATGATAAGATTGCTCAGGCATTGGCTGAAGCCAATGATGCTGCAAATAAGAAGCTAAGGGAGGAAACCCAGCAGCGTAACGAAGAAGCTGACGATGCTATGGAAGCTTCCCGAAGAAAGACTAAGGAGGAAAAAAGGTTGGAGAATGAGAAGAGGAAGCAGGCATTGAAGGATGCGAAGGCTCTCAAGGATCTAGCGTATAAGACAAAGATGGAAAATAAGCTGAAGAACACACAACCAGAGAAGGATCCGGCTGAGGAAAAGAAGAAGGATCCGACTGAGGAAGAGGAGAAGGATCCGGCTGAGGAAAAGAAGAAGGATCCGACTGAGGAAGAGGAGAAGGATCCGGCTGAGGAAAAGAAGAAGGATCCGACTGAGGAAGAGGAGAAGGATCCGACTGAGGAAAAGAAGAAAGAGCCGGCTGAGGAAAAGAAGAAGGAAGAAGAGAAGATGAACGAGGAACTTCTCAAGTTTGCCTCTCTCTTTTGATGAAGGTGAAGTCGACAACTTCATCAGAAACGCAGGCCGTACGTCTTTTCAATTTGATTTTGCATTTTTTTTTTTTTTTTGTATTTTGCATTTTAGGGTTTCTCATCTTTGTTTTCCGTTTGTAGTTTTGCATTTTAGGGGTACCAGCTTTAGCAAATGATACTCTAATCTTGCTAAATTTGCAATTTAGTTTGTGTTTGTTTGTATTTTGCATTTTAGGGTTTCTCATCTTTTTTTCCGTTTGTACGTAGTTTTGCATTTTAGGCATACCAGCTTTAGCAAATGATACTCTCTAATCTTGCTAAATTTGCATTTTAGCTCAAGTTTGCAACTTTTCCATTAAAAAATGTCCTTTTTTAGTTTTCGTCAACCACTTTTTACATGAATTTCTATAGATTAATCCAAAAATCATCATTAGCAGCTCTAACGTTGTGTACTGGCCTAAAAGTAAAAACATTAATTTTCAGAAGAAAACGAAAAACGACTGAACGTATAAAAAAGTAGAGTGGCAAAGAAAGTAATCATCAGAAATTTTTGTTTTATTCAAAAAGAATTTGGTACGGAAGTTGGAGCTGTTGTTGTTGTTTCCCAAGAAGGCTTTTAGAGGATATAACATATCATATCCTATGCTGTTATAACATATAGTACTATATTACAAATTACGTACCACCAGTTTTTTTTAATTAGTAGTTTTTCTCAAAATTCTTAAATTTACATATAGCACTATATCAAAAGTTCTGCGTTAATTAGCTTTATTGTTTCTTAACTTTACCATTGATATTAAGAAAAATACAAAACTGGCTACATAATTCTAGTGGCACGTTATATCATTGATATTAATGAAGAGCTAACGATGGAGCGAATACTTGCATGATAAAAAAATTCGAGTACTTTCAAATTATAGAATATATTTTTTGATATATAAATCTTTTGCATATTATAGAATATATTTTTACTTTTAGATGTAAAGTTATGATTTAAAAGAGAGATGTGACAACCAATGGATTAGAACTACACTTATTACTATATTTTGTTTTGTTTTATGCTTCAAACTTAATTTTGGTTATTACATTGTTAACGACAACCCCAATGTATAAAAGATATTTCGAATTGTGTAAAATTCACATGTGTGGATTGTATGTTATTCTGTGATCTAAAGAATACGAAGTGACAACTTATTTTGTGTCCAAAAAGATCGCCCTTTACATGGAAAGGCCAAAGCAGGTCCACAAGTGGCAAATTTTCTCCCATCTTTAAAACAGACAAAGAAGAATATAATCGAAACTCCACACGTACATACATATAAACATTTGAAATGCCGTAGCTAAGTTAATTCTCTTTTTTTAAAAAAAATTTTTTAAAGGACTTTCCATTGATTAAAACACAAAGAAAGAAAAAATAACACAAAACTCAGGCAATTGACTAATCTATTTAAATATTGATTTTATTTGTATATTTATCGTGAGCAACACAATACAGTTAATTTTAAGGCTTGCGCTATGTTCTTTTAGTTTGTGTTAGTACAAAAGTTGTAGAGGGCCATTAATTAATTGGAGAGAGTAGCATAAAACTCTGAGTTCTGAAGCTTGTCGGCGACAAGAGAGAGTCTCGCGAGTTGTCTGTAACAAAACTACAAAAGTCCTTTGTAGAGAGGTAAGAGAGTAACATAAAACTCTGAGTTTTGTTTGTCTGCTTGCAGATTAAAAGTCTATGAACCAACAATAATGTGACATGTGGAAAGATGATCAAAAAAAATTTATGTTATTATTATTCTTTTTATTTACTTTTTACTATTAATTGGTTTATTTGTTTTTAACGCTGTTCATGTATATCTATTTATCTGATTTCTTTGATAAAGATGATATACATTTCTGTATTTAAATAAATAGAAAAAACTCTTTAAATCCAAATTCAAAGGAAGAAACTCCACAAATGGATTGATAATGATAAGGAATCGGGGCTTAGTGCATTAGACCCATGCGATCTAATATCCTAAAGTCACATTTTTTTAATTTTATTTTGGTTAATTACTAAAGTTCCAGTCAGTGGCGGAGCTAGAAATAAATGTTATAGGGGTCACATATTATTTTTAATTATTAATTAAATATTTAAATAAAATATTTAGTTTCAAGAAAATTTTATATCTTTAAAAAAGAAAATTCATTGTCATTAAAATAAATAAAATAAGAGATAATCATTATTGTTATCTATTCATAATATAAGGTATATAGATATAATTTCATTTCCACATATTTTGTCATAGTTTCACTAATGTTTTCTTAAAAAATAATTGGAAAAGAATGATCGAATAAAAAATAATATGGTTTTCATGGGTGCAAAGAAGAGATTTGGCCACTGGTTATGGGGGTCAATTTACGAGAAAGCAACCAATTTACCACAATAATCAAATGGAGCATAAGCTTGTAAACAAAAATTCAAAAATTTATGGGGGTCAACTGACCCCCCTCCCAATACTGTGCCTCCGCCACTGGTTCCAGTAACACATATTATCCATTTTATTTGTTTTCTTTCTTTTTTTGGTCGAAAGAGAGATCTGTCTCCATGGGAAATTCTACTACTCACAAAATGACAGCGGTCTTCCTTACTCATTACACCTACAAAATCAAATCGGTTGTCGGATTCTTGTTCTTTGCAATTGCAGAGAGTAAGAGCATCTCCAATGGTGAGAGCCCTCCATGGGCTCTCACCATTTTTTTAAGATTAAAATTTTCAAATTTATGACATGAGAGCTTTTGTTAATTTTGCAAAGTCCAATGGTAGGCTCTCTTTGTGGGGTTCTCAGGAAAAAATTAAATTATTTTTTTAATTATTTTATTTCATAAATCTGAAAAATATTACAATTCATAACATATTAAAGATACAATAATTTCATACATTTGAAAATAAATTTGAAAAAAAAAAAACGATTAGTTATTAACCACTCCATTTAACCTCACCAAAACAGAGACATATAATTACCTTTTTCATTATTGTTCTTCTCCTCTAGTTTCTTAAGTTGCTGCTCCTTCAAGTACTTATTTCGAGGATCCTCTTTTGCTTCATAAAGATCTATAAAACGATGGTAATTAGAAGGATCATAATCATTCAACCTAATCTAAAGTTAACTACTATCAGAACAAGTGAAAAATTAAGTCCAAACCAAACCCTAAATCGAAAAAAGGGAAGAGATTTGGTTTCAGATTCAAATCGGAAGAAACCCTTAAACGAAACCAAATCACATTATAAAAGCAAACAGAAGTTAAAAGCAAAATATCTTAGATTGAAGTCGAAAACAATCAAAACCAAAATTACCATAGATCGTGACATGCGGTGGGGCAAATGAAGAATCCGGCCTAATCGTCGCCGGCGGCCTCTCTATTCTTCCCTCAATCGTTGCCGGTGGCCTCAATCGTGACCTCAATCGTCGCCGGCGGCTTGAGAAAAGTGTTTGGTTTCACAAAGAAAGAGAGAGAAACAGGAGAACAAGAGTCGGGAAATTACAAGTCTTTGGCTTCTTTAATTTTTTTTTGACGCGAATTTTTTTTTTTTTGATCAAAACAATCGACGGCTGAGATTAAGCCACATCATCGTCTCTCTTCCTACTCAAAGTTTCTCTCAAGAGAGCTGTTTCTCTCAAAAATTCAGAGTTTTGATTTATTTTTCAGCATTTTTTTCAAGAGAAACTTAGATGAGAACCCTAAAATACATCCATTGGAGATGCTCTAAGCCCGCTTTTGTAGTAGTCACGTGATGAAGCATATTTATATGCACTTGCTGAATTGGGCTTCCTAAAGGTTTTGGGTACCTTAAATATTTGGGTTTGTATTTACTGATTCATTTATGGGCTTTGTTTTCTCTGTTATATGATTAATTGTTGATATCACTTCGTGCACAATAGGGGGTTTAAGTAAGTTCTTGTTTACCATTTGATACATTAGCAGGCTGACACGAAGTTATGGAGGGGTTATTGGTTCATAGATTTATATGGAATTAGAAATCCAAACAAAAATCATTTGTTATTCAATCATTGATTTTAAAATCCTAATTAAATTCATGTGTTATTGGTTCTATGATTTATAAATACTAGTTAAAATCATATGTTATTCGTTTAGTCATTTGTTTTTGGATTTGAGAATCCAAATTATGTTTTAAATGGAATTGAATAGAATTGAAAGAGAAAAATAGAAAGATTCAAATCCATGGGTAAACACATGTTATTTCAAAATCCATATATATTGATTACATAATTAATAGAAATTTTCAAATTCTATATGGATTTACAAATTAATAAACCAATAACACCCCCATATATCTTTCTGCAAGTTACACGTCAATAATGAACGAAAGGGAAGTTAATGATACTCATTCAAAATAGAAAATAGAAAAGGGAAGTTAATGATGCTCTATGGTAAAAAGAAAAATCTTAAAAAAAGATTGTTTATCTATGAGTCTATGACCATAATTAATAGACGAAAAATACTTGGGTTCACCCCTAGGGGTGAACCTCTTATGTTCACCCCTTTTACTTGATCCAATCAAAATATGCCACCTATTAACAATAAAAAAAATTCATTTAATTATAAAATTTAATTTGCCACTAAAACGAAATTATGTATCGGTTTAGGTTTATTAGAAAGGGTTAGGGTTTAGATTTTATGATTAAACGAGTTTAACTATCGGTTTGGGTTTATAAACGGGTTTATATTTTACAATTAAACAAGGTTAAGTGTCGGTTTGGGTTTAGAAAATACGATTAGGGTTTAGATTTTTTACGATTAAACGAGTTTAAATGACGGTTTGGGTTTACAAAGGAGAATTAGGGTTTAGATTTTATGATTAAACGAGTTTAACTATCGGTTTGGGTTTATAAACGGGTTTAGATTTTACAATTAAACGAGGTTAAGTGTCGGTTTGGATTTAGAAAGTACGATTAGGGTTTAGATTTTTTACGATTAAACGAGTTTAAATGACGGTTTGGGTTTACAAAAGAGAATTAGGGTTTAAATTTTATAATTAAACGAAATTATATATCGGTTTGGGTTTATAAAAGAGTAGTTATGACTTAATCTTATTGTTTTATTTAGAAAATAATTGTTTTAATTTTTTTAACTAGATGACATGGCAAATTCTAATTGGATAATTAAGAGGGGGTGAATGAAAGTGGTTCACCCAAGAATTGTTCATTCTAATTGGATAATTAAGAGGGGGTGAATGAAAGTGGTTCACCCCTAGGGGTGAACCCAAGAATTGTTCTTAATAGACTTGGTGGCCAAGGGCCAAGGCCATCTGTATTAATTAGGGTTTAACGTGGAGAAGATCACCATTTCTTTAATTAGGGTTTCTTTATTTTAGTCTCTT